CGTCCTCAGCATTCCAATTGTCAGCACTTCACTTTTTGTTAGTTTTTTATGCGTTTTGGCAAATATGCAAATTGCAGGAACGCGTATTGGGAAGAAGTTGTTTGTGTGCTCGCACTTTTTATCACCCACTTTCAACTCGAGAACTAGAAAAGCTAGAAGGCTGAAAATTTGGGAGTACGTGCCTGTACCATGTGCGACCCTCCCATTTTAACTTCATCTTTCGCAGGCGCCTAGGTACCGCTTATGGACGTTTTAAAAAAATATGCAAATTTTTTGGCGGGAAAGCGATCTCGGGAACCAATTTGTAGGCTGAAATTTCGTAGGAATATTCCCTGTAAATGTATTAGCCAAAGACTTCAAATTCAGTCCCCAGCTGTGCGTGGTACTCACGTAAGGGCGTATGAAGGTTTTAGGGGGAAAGTCGCTAACTCGGGTACCAGAAAAGCTAGGAGTACAACTATAGGAGTAAAACTCCATCCAAGTACAACTCAAATATTTCAAATCAAGCCCCCGCGTCGCCAAAAAGCGATATTTATGTTAATATTACATATTTTTGTGTTATTAATATTTGATTTTTTATGTTGTGTGTATGAATCATATAGTATGTGTTTCTAATGTAAATTGTACTTTATGTATTTTTTATGTAAAATATTATCTATCCTTTTTATCGCCGACCGTAATACAGGCGATATTTCCCGAAATTCCATTTTTTCTCAGGATGCTTTTAATACCTTTTACATTCCTGACGCCTGATCGCCGAAAGGCGACAAGGTGTTTCTGGGACTTTATAAAAGCCCCGATATCTCCCCTCCGGTTTTTATTCTTGTTCTTCACATTCCAGTACTCGACCACTCATCGGCGTCCTTTTCACGACATCGTCTTGGCCCTCGGCCTTCTTCATCACAACATCTCGACTGCTCCGCGGCTACGCCTTCACGATTGCACCGTTCCCGATCACGTCTAGTCTTGAACTAATCGTCTGTTCCTTTTTCTGCCCAACCGGGCAACTTGAGTTATTACAGTATTATTGCACGCAAATATACTAAATAAATCATCTATTTTTTCCCACTTTACACTTATTCCCATCCTGACAACAAGAAAGGCGCTAAATTACCCCCGGGTACGCGTGGTACCCACGTAGGGGCGTATGAAAGTTTCTACAGGAAAATTACTAACTCGGCAACCAGAAGAGCTGGAAGGCTGAAAT